TATGAAGAGAAGAATATGGACCACTCAGAGCAGGGTTATTCTCCATCAGCTAGAAATCCCACTGATTTCCATATCTGTATTTATATAGAGTTATGGATTGCTTATTTATCAGCACTTCATTACCAGCCATTCATTTTTGGATTTTCTCTGTATGTTTTAGGAGCCTTGTTGATACTGTTTATGCCTTGAAGGATGAGGTCAAAGAACTGAAACAGGTAACACATTATCAAAGTTAGCTTCCCAGGTAACAAAATTGCTCTGTCTTCCTGGCCACCAGCTGGGAGCTCCTGTCAGGTAGAGTCCAGGAGCAAGGTAGTGGGGGAATGTAGGGGAAGCTGTAGCCACGCCTTCTTAGGGGCTGGGATTTAGACTAAAAGGGGAATTGTAGGGGAAGCTGTAGCCAGCCCCTAAGAAGGCGTGGCAACAGCTTCCCCTACAGGGGAAAATATGTATCTTCTTTGTGTTATCAGGTGGGTTTTATTTCTTTAATCATGTGGCCTTGAATTCAGATCTGTGCAGCAGAGTCCCAAACATAGACACTACTTTCTCATTCCCTCACATCTTAAGAAAAAATGTAAGCAAGCCCAGGTGTGGGGGTGCCTGTCTGTAATCTTAGCAACTAGGAAGGTTGAGGCAAGGAGATCATGGGTTTGCTTGCCTGGGTTCTATAGCAAGATCTTGTTGTGGAAAAGTACAGAAAGGAAGGGAATAATACAGGAGAGATAGAAGGAGGGAAAAGAGAGCTGTCGTTGGTGGTTTTCACATAGGTGATGTGGCCCTATGCTCTGTGATTTGCACTCCACCTATGTGATGAGACTGATTGTACCTTGTGACAAGGGGGAGGATAAGGCAGAGGAAGTCTAGAGCCTGCAGGAGCACTTGTGCAATTCGTAGTCAATTTTGGATGGGGCATGGCAAAGTCCTGAACTGAGGCAGGTGGTGAGGCCTTAAGGAGTACAGCAAATGTAAAGAGACATTGTAGAGTTGGAACCTATGACATATGCTGGCCCAGTGCTGGGATTAGGTGAGAACAGATATTAGAGAAGCTTCTCGCCTGGGTTTGTAATTTGCTATGGTAGGCATCCTTTCAGAGATTCAGAAGCACTGGAAGAGGTTTGGAGTCATGCGGGAGGTGACACGAAGTTCCCTTTAGAGCCTAGTAAGTTTAAAGTGCTTACAATCTACATAGATGGAGCAGCCAAACTGGTTTATCCTGTGAGGCTGGCACTGGAGAGATTTGATGCTTACAATCTCTGTAGATGGAGCAGCCACACTGGTTTATCCTGTGAGGCTGGCACTGGAGAGATTTGGGAAGCCTCTTAAATATACACTTGTGATGATAGAGAAGTGACCCTAAATGAAAAAGTGTGCAACCAGGGCAGATTCAGTCTTACGGAACACTTGCATTTAAGTGAAGAGTGTAGCAGGCCGCTTACATACATGCAGAAAATCAGAAGATGTAGTCAGAGTGAGGGATGCCATGAGGAGGAGGAACCCTGGGAAAGGGTGCCTTGGCTTGGAGATCAACAACTCTTGTCCCTTCTAGGAGAATAAGAGAATGAAGCAATGCCTGGAAGAAGAATTGAAGTCGAGGAAGGACCTAGAAAAGCTGGTCCGGAAGCTGTTGAAGCAAACAGACGAATGCATTCGAGCTGAATCCAGCACCAAGTCCCCTATTCTCCCATAAGCATCATTGTGCAGCTGAGCCCAGGCCTTCAGCACTTGTTGAAATGGCCAGCTGAATGATTTGACTGTGCACCTCAGTTTTTGCTTTGTGTTGGGATCTGTCTCCACCCTCCCTCTCCCTCCTCCCCACCTTTGTTTGCTTGAGTGTTCATTACTTGGCTATCGGTTGACTGATACTTGTTTTAATAGGGGAAACAACCTAAGTGGTGATAAAATGGCCCCAATACTTTGCTATGCCCAACAGCCCTTTACTACCTAATTAGCTGGAGGCAAAGCTAATTCACAGGCTGTGTCTAGAGTAGATGAAACAACACCTTTGCCCAATGATCCAGCTCTCCTTCCCTGGGCTGTCTCATGGCCCCCTTCAACACTTTAAAAATTCTTGCCCTGTGTTGTCTGTTAATACCAAGAGCAGTGTAATGCCCTTATTCCCTTTGTGCTGGTATACATTTAAAGGCAGTGGTGTAGGAACTCCAACTGTCCACACCAACACTCAGTCCATCAGTAGACTGCTTCAGGCACCCCTGCCCCCGCCCCCAGCAGCAGGGCAGAGCAGCTATTCGTAGTGCACTGTAGCTTGATGCCCAGCCTTCTGCCTCTACATCAGTTTTCTACCTCCCCCTAACCTCTGTGCTTTTAGCCAGCTATACCAGGTGGTGTTTAAAGTAATGTGAATGTGCTTTGCTTATTTTGTCGGTTACTATGAGCAGTGACTTTACCTTGGATATTCAAACTCCAACCTTTTCACCTTTCTAAACAACCTGGGTGACTAGACACCATGCTGTAGTACACATCTTCCATCCCATCTTCCCAAGCTCTGGTTTCTGCAGTGAGAAGTTAGAATTATCATTGATGTCTTTGCTGGTGGCTTTGAATACGATGAGCCAGGTAGTAAATCCTGAGTGAAAGGGCCTCTCCACTAGCTGTGCTGCTTGCTAGTGAAGCAGACGGTCTGAAACTAGTTTGCACAACTTGTTTATAATGACAAACCATTGACTTTGTAAGTAGTTCAGAAATATGAACTGCGAGGAAGCAGATTCAGTAGACAGCCCCAGAAGAACAGTGTGTACAAGTCAAAATGGGCCAAGGCTACAGGATGGAGCAGCACAGCTCTTGCCTACCCCCTCAGGTGGCAGGGCAACTTGGCCAGATGGCAAAGTCACTTTTAGGAGAGGCAGAAAGCCAACAAATTTTATATGTATATTTGATGGGTGCCTGTAAATGCTGTTTCAAATGCAAACTCAAGGCCTAAAATGGTGTTGAGGAGTCCATTTTCTTTCTGGTATGGAGGCTGTCACAGTTTCCATAATTTCATGGTACAGGGCTATTGTCTCCTGTTACATGGATGACATTATAGCACCGACAGGTGGAGAATTCCTGAAGTTCACCCTCAGACAATTGCAGACAGCAGTCTTTGACAGCTTGAGTGAAGGTTTCTAAGAATGGCTGTCATGTTTCTACCTAAGCCCAGAATTTGGGGGGTGGGGTTGAGACAAGGGTTTCTCTGTGGCTTTGGAGCCTATCCTGGCACTTGCTCTGTAGACCAGGCTGGTCTCAAACTCACAGAGATGCGCCTGCCTCTGCCTCCCGAGTGCTGGTATTAAAGGCGTGATCCACCAACGCCCGGCCGCCCAGAAATTTTTATGAGACATCTTTCATGCAAAATTTTAAAACAAGAAACAACAGTAGTAACCCAGATGTTCACATGTGTCCTGTCTGTGCTTAGTCAAAAGTTTGCAATAAATGTGCAGATTTTGTCCATAGTAATCACTTCAGTGATTACCAAATAATTTAGTTGATTGGTTAGGTCTCTAAAAGGTTGTGTACATATGCATGTTTGGGGACTTTGCCTTTCTAAGGAAAGGTTTTTGGTACTTGGGATATTGAAGCTTGTGCAGCGGGCAGCCAGGGCTTACACACTAAATAATATAAAGCCATGTTAACCACTGAGCCGTGTCTCCATAGTTGTGTTGTTTACAATACTCTATAAATGGGTTCCTGTTCCTCTGTAATTAAACTGCTGCCCTTAGAGGCCTTTCAGTTTCTTGTTTGTCATGTCCCTTCTTACAGGAACTCAGATTTTCTAAACTTGTTTTTATTTTAAAGACTTTTAAAATGGACATTTTCAATAAACAAGAATAAACAGTGCTTTATAAATAAGATAATTTGTTTATTTTTTTCTACTGATTGGTGTTTAGGAAGATTTTTGTAGTTGGAGGTTTCTTGTCCCACCCGCCAGGTCCCAAATAACTACTCTAAGACTTAACGTTCATTACAGTATTTTGGCCAATGGCTGAGACATATTACTAACTAGCTCTCACAATTAAATGAACCCATTTCTATTATTTTGTGGTTTGTTACCTCACTTCTTGCTTCCCCATCAACTACATGGTGTCTCCCTGATTCTGCTTTCTTTTTCTCTGTAACTATGCTTGGATTTCCCACCTAGCTATGGCCATTGGTCCAAACAGCCTTATTCATCAACCAATAAAAGCAACACATATTCACAACATACAGACGGACATCCCACATCAGGTTTTCTTAAGTGTTATTTTATTTTCAGCTGACAAATACAAATTGCATATTGGTGACAACAGTGTGAGGTTTCAGTACACACATATATCATGCTATCTGGTCATAGGCTGATTTAACATATCATTTATCACTTCAAATATTATCATATATGTAGTAGGACATTTAAAATCTTTGCTTTTGACTCTTGAACTATAAAAATAGTATTAACAATAGTCACTGTATCGTGCATAGATGAATTCATCCCGTTTTACTGAAACTTTGTTCACTGTGATCAAAATAATGTCCTCTTTCCCACCCAGGCCCTAGTTAAGCCCTACTTTACTAGCTACTTTTATGAGTTTCTGTTTTTATATGCCACATATGAGGAATGAGATGTGCAGTGTTCATCTTTATAAACAAGCCTGGCTTATTTCATGTAGAACGATTCCCTCCAGGTTCATTAATGCTGTTACAAATTAGTTTCTTTTTGAAGGCCAAGTAGTATTCCATTGTGTGTACATATCTACCACATTTTTATTCATATAATACCTTAATTCTATCTATCTATCTATCTATCTATCTATCTATCTATCTATCTTCAAGCAAGATATCACTGTGTAGCCATGGGCAGCCTGAAACTCACTCTATATACCAGGGAGGGTGACCTTGAGCTCACAGAGATCTGTTTGCCACTGGCTCCCAAGTGCTGCAATTAAAGGGTGCATACCACCATGCGCAGTTGTAGGTTATTCTAGATCTTGACTAGGTGAATAGCGCTGCCATGAACATGGGAATGCAGCTCGGTCTTCAACATATGATTTTGTTTCTTTTAGAAATGGTGAGGAATAAGTTGAGGTTGGAAATTTTAGCTAGTCCATTCGCATCAGGCTTTCCCCAACATACGTTTTCCACTTAAGCGTCTATTTCCTAGTGTGATCATCCCTGTAAAGTAGTGAGTAAATGTCATCTATGGTGACATAGAACTTCCCTTCCCTTCTCTAGCTTTCATCTTCTGGCCTCAACTTAACAAACCACTTGAAGTGCATCTCACAATTTTCCTTCCAACATTAAAAATACATTCATTGTCCTATCCATGTACTCATCCCTCTTGTATTGTACAACAGTCTGTCAATCTGTGATGTTTTCAATTGTGGTCTCTGGTGTCAGCAGTCAGGATGAAAGTATTTGAACTGTGGGCTGGGGAGATAATTCAGTTGATGAAATTCTTGCCGTAAAAGCAAGTGACTCTGAGCTAGATCATCAAAATACATGTAAAAGTGGTGTGGTGACACGCACATATAACCTCAGAACTGAAATGGCAAAGACAGGTAGATTCTTGGGGATCGCTGGCCAGCCAGCCTAGGCTGCTTACTGAGTTCAGGCCAGTGAGAGGCTAGCTCCAAAACTAATGTGGGGCTGGTGAGATAGCTAAGCGAGTAAAGGTGTCTGCCATGAAAACTTGGTGATTTAAGTTCAATCCTCAGAACACCCGTAGCAGTGGAAGAGGAGAACCAACTTCACAAAGTTGTCCTCTAACCTCTCCCTACCTGTGATTCTTTGAGTGCATGCCCTCTCCATCCTAAATATGCACACATCATAATAATAAAGTTCAAAAAATCCAAAAGATGCATGAGCCGTGTGCAAAGAGACCTGATGTCGACCTATTCCCTATACAGACTGAGAGAGGAGAGGAGGCAAATTGAACTGGATACTGTTTAGTGGTCCACACTGACTATTCCTATACCATTGTTTCCCCCGAAAGCATAAGGGCAAACATACATTTTCTTCCAAAGTCTTGCAGCAAGGGTTCTAAATACGGCGAGGTTTCACATACATTTCCAGTTATGCTAAGAAGATGGGGGAGTATAATTCAGACAAAGTCTGTCTTCTGGTGGCCTGCAGGAGGTTCCCCAGATACTCTGGTGTCTGTAGTCCACATTGCAGTGTCTCTGCTCAATCTTTGTGGGTGACACTGTAGCAATAACAGTGACAGGCAGTGGTCATAGCAGCAGCTTCCTAACATTTGGGTCACAACTGCCAAGGGATGACTTGGAGGCCATTAGTTCACCAGAATCGCACCGCCTCTCACTTCTATGACCCCACATTTTTGTAGCTATCAAATTAACTTTCTGCTCAAGCTGTCTGACTGCTTCTTTCTTGCTTTGACCAGTTACATTTAACTTTGTGCCTCGCACAAACTAAGCACGGTATTAAATGATCCACATATTTAGGGTCGTGCGAAGCTCAAGTGATCCTATCAGGTCTTTCTTGCTGGTTCTCTCCATCTTACAGATGAATAAAAGTACAGAGATATTGACTTCCATGGCAGTACGTGGTGGATGCGATTTGAGACTATCTTCTGGTTTATCTCTTGGGCTTAATGCTCTATGTGGCCCATTTCCCCTTCTGCCCTTTGTACCTGTTTAAGCACTGCTTCTACATCAGCTGTCAACCCCTGTGAAGTCTTCAGTGAACTCCTTTTTGTTTGTTTCTTTGAGACAAGGTCTTGTGTATCCCAAGCTGGCCTCAAATGTACTATGTGGCTCAGGGTGACCTTGAACTTCTAATTCTCCTGCCTCTACCTCTGATTTCTTGGGTTACAGGCATGTGTTACCATGCCTGGTTTTATGGGCTACTGGGTATTGAACCCAGGGCCTGAAGCATGACATAAAAACATTTTATGAATGAGCCACATCTCCAGTCAAGCAGTAAACTGTCAAATTTAGGGAAATGCTTTTCAATACCCAACAGTGTCAATTTTTTTTAATGATGGTATCTCAGTATGTTTCTCAAACTGGTTTCAGATAACTCAAGTGCAGCCTACAGCTGGTCTTGAAGTTGCTGCTTTTCTGTCTCAGGCACCCTAATGCTGGAGCTACAGATTCACAGATGTGCACTGCTGCACATGTCCCCTTATGCTTGCTCTCTCTCTCTCTCTCTCTCTCTCTCTCTCTCTCTCTCTCTCTCTCTCTCTCTCTCTCTCTCTCTGTCTGTCTGTCTCCTCCCCTTTCTTCCCTTTCCCTTCATCTCCTATCCCTCCCTCACAGAAGTCTGTCCTACTCCAATTATATTTTCTCCTTTTTGTATTTTTTCTTGCTTTCCCTTCACTCCACATTCAGTGCCTTCTTTGTACCACCTCAGGATTCTCAGTAGTCAGAGCTGCCAAGTAGGATCCTTGGCTGCAACGTTCCAACCACCTTAGGTTTCCCAGCCCTCCTACTTGCAGCGCTGAATGCAGAGCACTGTTCTGGGTTTCACAGTGTGCTTCGTTTGATGAACAGCCTGAGAGCAGATTCCACAAGGACTTTCTGTGTACCCTCTTGTTGAGTCATTATCAACCCTAGAAATACAATATTCTCACTGTCCCCACTTTCCTGATATAGACACAGTGACCCAAACGTTAAATGATTTGTCCACAATTATCAAGTCGATAAATAGTGGAGCCTGGATTATAATTCTATTTGACTAGCTCCAGAGTTAACCGTAACACTGTAGCAAGAACAGATTAACAGTCATACTTAGTTCCAGGTGCCTTCCCACTTTAAAGTCCTGAGGGAGAGCAGCTCTCAGTATTGTGAATCTGGTCCTGTGGCGATAGTTGAATACACTGCAAAATATGTCCCATCTGGAAGCCCAAGAATGTTGTAGAATATTATTTTAACTTTGT